GGCCTGACCTAAGGAGGATTTTATTTAGGGACGATTTTAAGTATAATTTTAATTGGAACACAGCTTCGAATATTTGGTTTTAATTTGGTTTTAGAGGGGTTTTTATTTTTATTGATATGTATATCTGTTTTAATATGCTGTGCACCGCCCTGAGTCCTGCGGGAGAAGGGCGGTATAGAAATTAAAATAATAATAATAAGAAGAAGAAGAAGGCAGAGCTCAAACCTTGATAAATACACCCCCCACCCAATTCCTAAAAAGTTCTAGGCACTTTGTGAGAATGAACTAATCTCAGTTTAGTGAATCTTTTTTTTTTACCCTGAAGAGTTTTTCCAAAGCATAATTGTAGTGGGATTCAAAGTATTAATTAAGAGGATGCAGAGAAATCGGTTGTTGCCAGCGTGGAAGAGAGCAAGGAGAGTTTGATTTTCAACTTTAGTCTCTGTGGTCCCACTTGGCCAAACTTACAGCGGCAAAAACACCTAATTGTTGTTTTAATTATAGAGGCAAGAAATCCTGGCAGAGTTCCAAGCTCCTTTGACATGTAACAGGAGAAAAAGTTATTTGTGCAACTGCACCTGCGGCCGACTCTCATGTTATGCACTGACCTAATCTTGTTTATTCCTACTTTGACACAGATCTAAACTCTTGTCATCTAACCAGGGCAGTCAGGGGAGTTTTTAGCCCCAGCTGTCAGATGTTGACCTGATGCCTCTGTGGATCTGAAGACCTCAGTCCAGGATGAACTCCAAGTTTACATCTTGGTGGAAAAGCTCACTTAACAGAGACAATAACCAGACAGAAACCAAATTATAATTTATTAATTGCAAAGGCAGCAGGTGAGAGTGAGTCACTGGTCTTTTGCACCCAAGCAGGCCCAGATGAAGGGTCCCCTGGCTCCATAGGATTATGGCACTGAATGTGGATTCAAACTAGTCTTAGCATGCATCTATTATTATGATGGTTGTCCGTTGCCAGGAGACAATCTTGACTCCTGGCAACTGCTGGTCCCTGCAGTTTTCTAGGCAAGTTTTTCAGAAGTAATTTTCCCTTGCCTAGGCTGAGAGGGACAGGGGGTCATGTTATTCACCAAAGCACCAGAGGGAAGGAGAAGAAACAATGGTTGGAAACTGATCAAAGTCAGAAGTAACCTGGAATTAAGGAGAAAGTTCCTGACAGTGAGGACAATTAACCAGTGGAACAGCTTGCCTCCAGAAATCCTGAGTGCTCCATCACTGGAGGTTTTTAAGAAGAGACTGCACAGTCACTTGTCTGAGATGGTTTGGGTTCTCCTGCTTGAGCAGGGGGCTGGACTAGAAGACCTCCAAGGTCCCTTCCAGTTCTATTCTATTCTATTCTATTCTATTCTATTCTATTCTATTCTATTCTATTCTACTGTATTCTTTTCTAGTCTAGTCTAGTCCAGTCCAGTCCAGTCCAGTCCAGTCCAGTCCATTCCATTCCATTCTATTCTATTCTATTCTATTCTATTCTATTCTATTCTATTCTATTCTATTCTATTCAACCAGTTTCCATGCCTGAGCTAAATTACAATTCATGATCTTCCGGTTACTAGCCTGGTGCTTTAACCACTACATCAAATGGGCTCTTTACACATGTTAATAGGAAACTCCTTTGAAAAACCCTATACAGGTAGTCCTTGTCTTACGACTACAATTGACCCCCAAATTTGTGTTGCTAAGTGAGACATTTGTTAAGTGAATTTTGCTCCATTTTATGACCTTTCTAGCCACAGTTATGAAGTGAGTCACTGCAGTTGTTAAGCTAGTAACCCAGTTCTTAAGTGAATCTGCCTTCCTCATTGACTTTGCTTGTCAGAAGTCTGTAAAAGGGGATCACATGACCCTGGGACACTGCAACCGTCATAAATATTAGCCAGTTGCCAAGCATCTGGATTTTGATCACGTGACCATGGGGATGCTGGAACGGTCGCAAGTGTGAAAAACTTGTCATAAGTCCCTTTTTTCAGTGCCGTTGTAACTTTGAGTGGTCACTAAACAAACTGTTTTTAATCAAAGACTACCTGTATCTCCCTGTCTTCATGCTTTTATTTCCCTCTAATACATTTCTGTTCCCCTTGTTGGGCTGGGCATCCTGATTGGTGGAGTGATCCCTGCCAATCAGAAACAATTAGCCCCACCCACTGTATTCCATTTCCAGCTCTACCTCTAGTTTCCTTGCCTTGTTTGACCTTTATAAAATATATTTTTTATTAAAAGTTTTGCAAAAAACATAAATGCAAACACTAATTCACAAAGAGTAAAAGAAGCAAGGAAGGAAAAAAGTACAGAAAGGAAAAAATAAAAATGAATAACAAAAAAAAGCCTCCAAATTCCATTGCAGCAAATATAACTATGATTTCAAAATTATCCGTTGCTCTATTGGAGGGAATGAGTGTGACTCTTTCGTGTCGATCAGAAACTAACCCCAAGTTTCTTTTTTTAAAAAAACTGAAATTATATAGAACAGGGGTGTCAAACTCAATTTCATTGAGGGCCTTATCAGCATTGTGGTTGCCCTTGGGGGGGCAGGTGGGTGTGGCCAGGGTCTGTGCAGCCTACTGGGTGGGCATGGATGGAGTGGGTGTGGCCTACTGGGTGGGTGTGGCCAGCTCTACATCATTCGCATCAAGGGTGCCTGTAGGGGCCTGGGCAGGAGTGGGACAGATCTGAGGGTCTCTGGCAGAAAGGGGTGGGACCAGGGCAGAGCCGATCAAGCCGGATATGTGAAGTAGGCAAGGGCCATTTGCTGGCCACTTCCAGGCGATGGTGCATTTCTTCATTCCTCACAAAGGTGACACTTCCCCAGCATGCACCGAGGGGGTAGGGCCGACGCGGCAGGGCTGGTTCCTCACTGTTTCCAGACGGCCTTGTGGAGCTAAGACTGAATACATTTCAGCATAGATGGCCACCACAAAATTGTACATTGGCTCCCGGCCAGCCTGGGCCAGGGCCAAGGCAGCAGGGGCCGTTCCCTCACTTGTTTCCAGGATGGCTTCACGGGCCACATGAAACCACTTCGCGGGCTGCATCCTTGTGTTTGACATGTCTGATATAGAAGATTCCCTTAATATGAATTATGATAAAGATTAATGCATCCATAGAGATATACATTATTCCCCACAGTAAAGAGAAGCAGAGATGGTCAAACTGATTCTTTTTATGCAAGGAAGTGAATATATCTAATACTGTTTCTATTTTGAAACTGCTTCCAGATTTTGTGCTTACAATGAAAAAGAAAAATTAAATCTTGATTTTGCTTTTGCTAATTAGATAGGTTTATTGTTATAGAAATGGCTTGTACATACTGTTGTGTAAAAGTAAAAAATTGTGATTGTAATGTAATCTTCTACTGTGCTAAAGAGTCGGACATTGGTGCCTTTTTCTTTTCTTTTCCCTCTTTACGCTATCTTTTTTTCTTTCTTCTCCCCCTTCTTCTAGTTTTCTATTACTCTTTTGAATTTCTCTTTGCATGTTATATTTTGACAAACCAATAAAAGTATTATTATAAAAAAAAAGATTCATTTTAAACCACTTTTTTCTATTGTCTCATTGAATGAAGTGGTCTCAGTTGCTTAGAATAGAATAGAATAGAATAGAATAGAATAGAATAGAATAGAATAGAATAGAATCGGAAGGGACCTTGTAGGTCTTCTAGTCCAACCCCCTGCTCAAGCAGAAGAACCTATTTTTAAATACTTCCAATGTTGGAGCATCCACAACTTCTGGAGGCAAGTTGTTCCCCTGGTTAATTGTTCTAACTGTCAGGAAATCTCTCCTTAGTTCCAGGTTGCTTCTCTCCTTGGTTAGTTTCCATTCATTGTTTCTTGTCCTGCCTTCAGGTGCTTTGGAGAATAGCTTAACTCCCTCTTCTTTGTGGCAGCCCCTGAGATAGACAGGGAAGGAAATGTAAAATAGTAGTCAGAAGGGATTGTGACTAGTGAAGGCTTACTTCTCCTTTGAGAGAGGGAGTGGGTGAAGGTATAAGGGATCAGAAACAGCTGGTTCTCCCTTGTTAAGAACAGCTTGTTATGGGAATCCAAGGACCAAATAATCAGCACAAGGAAGAAAAAAAGAGAAAAAAGACAAGAAAAAGTAATCATGTGGGCACTTCTACCTGTAAAACTCTCCACCTTTTCCTTTCATCTCTCATCTGCATCTTCCAATACCATCCATGATGATATTCTTCTGGAACTGCTAAGTTGTTTGGTGATGGTTCTGTGATGGTTCTCCTTCTCCTTCTTTTGGCCAATGCTGGTAGGGAAAGGGTATAGACCCTTCCAGCCATAGACCTCTGCTTTCTGGGGTGCCTATCTTTCCCCCCCCCCCCTCATTTTAGAATACACCAATGAAGTCATTTGTCACTTTGCGGTCTGGTATCATCAATATGTCAATGATACCCAACTATACATGTCTGTCCCCAGCCATCCAGGATCCTTTCCCAGTGTTTGGAGGTTGTGAGGATCTGGATGTGAAAGAACAAGATGCAGCTTTCAATCATGCTAAAAATGAGTAGTTATGTATTTTGTGTCTCCCAGATCCTGGAGTTGCAGAATTGCCATCCTTGGCTCTGGATAATTCTTGTTCAGGACTTATGCACTATTCAAAGAGCAGGTGTTGTGTGTCAGTTGAACCCATTCCTGGATTAGGAGGCAGTGCTCATGATGGCTGACTTACATCTTGGTTACCTTCTGATTGGTCTCAATGGGGCTGCCATGAAAATCATTTGGAAACTTCAATTGGTTCAGAATGCAGTAGTGCTGGTAGATATGATGTATCATTACTGTCACACCTGCCACAACCTGGGTTCTTAGAAAAGAAAGAAAGACTCTCAACTCCGTTTGGGTAAAAGGTATACTTTTACTAAACATCAAGTGAATCAGAATCAGAATAGAGCTGGAAGGGACCTTGGAGGTCTTCTAGTCCAGCCCCCTGTTCAAGCAGGAGATCCTATACCATTTCAGACAAGTGATTGTCCAGTCTCTTCTTAAAAATGTCCAGTGATAGAGTGCCCACGATATCTGAAGGCAAGCTGTTCCACTGGTTAATTGTCCTCACTGTTAGGAAGTTTCTCCTTAATTCCAGGTTCCAAATTCTCTCTTTGATCGTTTTCCACCCATTGTTTCTTGTCCTGCCTTCTGGTGCTTTGGAGAATAATTTGACCCCCTCTTCTTTGTGGCAGCCCTCAAAAACTGGAATAATGCTATCATGTCACTCCTATTTCTTCTTTTCTTTAGATAAGCCAAATCCAAGTCCGGCACTCATTCTTCATATATTTTAGTCTCCAGGACTTTGATCATCTTAGTTGCTCTTCTTTGCACTTTTTCCAAAGTCTCAACAAATTTTTTTGTAATGGGATGACGAAAACTGGACACAGTATTCCAGGTGTGGTCTTACTAAGGATTTATAAAGTGGTACTAATATTTCACCTGATTTTGAATCTGTGCCTCTATTTATACAACCAAGGATTGTATTAGTTTTTTGGCTGCTGCCGCACACAGCTGGCTCATGTTTTAAGTGATTGTCCAATAGGATTTTAAAGTGGTATAGGGCTTCCTGCCTGACCAGGGGTTTAGACTAGAACACCTCCAAGGTCCCTTCCAGTACTTTTATTCTGTCCCTCTCACAGTTATTGCTTTTGAGCCAGGTTTCACCTAATCTGTATTTGTACTTTGGTTTTTCCTGCCTAAGTGTAAAGTCTTGCTTCTCTCCACATTAAATTTCATTATCTTGGATAGGGCCCCTTTGTTCAAGTTTGTCAAGTTTGTTTTTTTGTTTTTTATCCTGAGCTTGTCTTCTGGGGTGTTTCCTGCTAGTCAGTTGGGTCATTTTTACTGGGAGCCCCACATTGTAAGCTTTGTCTTATTCTGTGCTTGGTTGTCACATTATATTTTAGCTTTTTGATTTAACTATTTGTTGTTTGTTACTGTTATTATTGTTGTTACAATCATCATTATTTCATGCTTATACATCAGCCAAAGCCCTAATGAGAAGAGGCAAAGTAAAGGAGGTGGCAAATGAGAAAAATGGGGAGAAAGAACACACTTTTTTCTCCCTTCTCTCAAAAGTGGCATGAAGGAGAAGTTTGTCAAGCCATTTCCCTCAAACAGAGTAAAGGTTCAGAAGAAGAGGAGAGGAATCAAGAACATAAGCCATGAACAATCAAGGAGAGAGTGATTATTGCTGATTATCAGATATTTTATCATTAGTCATATAACTTGATTTACAAATATTTAATGGAAAAGCACATCTCTCATTTCATTTTTTTAAAAAATCAGTTGAAATATAAAAATGGCCCAAACTAAGAACAAATGTTCACAGTCCCTGGAAAAGTCAGAGATTTTTGTGCCTCATTATATTCTCTCGACAATTCAGATTGGGCCTAAGTATGATAATGAAGCATTTGGGGAAAAAGATACAAGCCAAAAGACCAGTACCAGAGGCCAAGATGGAGAAGATCTCCACAGCCACCATGGACTTCCCTTTGGTGCTCAGATAGGTGGGGATGAAGGTGATCCAAACACTGCAGAAGACCAACATGCTAAAAGTAATGAACTTGGCTTCATTAAAACTGTCAGGCAATTTCCTAGCCAGAAATGCAACTGTGAAACTGACAAGGGCCAAAAAACCTAGGTAGGCAAGCACAATATAAAAGAATGAAGCTGAGCCTTCCTTGCACTCCAAGATAGTTTCTCCTACCAAGGAGTGGAAATCCAAGTTGGGAAATGGAGGAGAGGTTAACAGCCAGGTGGCACAAAGAACAGCTTGGATGAGGGGACACACTAAGACAATGGAATTGGTCAGTTGTTTTCCTAAGAGTTTCCTTGTCTTGTTCCCTGGCTTGCTAGCCATGAAAGCTAGAACCACCATGATAGTTTTTGCCAACACAGAGGAAACTGCAAGAGAAAAGAGAATGGCAAAGGTAGTTTGTTGGAAGAGACAGGTAAGCTTCCTGGGTCGACCAATGAAGAGGAAGGAGCAGAGGAAGCAGAGCAGGAGGGAGACCAGCAAGATATAGGTGAGATCTCGGTTGTTGGCCTTGACGATCGGTGTGTCATGATGTTTACAGAAAATCACCAGGACTGCAGATGTGATCAGAGAAAGGAAAAGAGCTATAGAAGCCAAAGTGTATCCCAGGATCTCTTGATAGGAAAGGAAGTGGAGCTTCTTGGCCATGCAGTGGACCTTGTTCTTGTTGGGATATTCGTCTTCTGGGCAGGATTCACAGTGTGCTGCATCTGAAATCAAGATAAAATAATAATATGAAAGTTCTTAGTCTTTGCTAAGGATTTCAGTGACATCTGCCATTGGCATTCTCCCTCTCTCATTGGTGACATGACTATTCCCTTTCTGTTGTGGCCAATCCATGAATGTAGTGATGGAATGACCCACTGATAACTTAAAAAGGAATCAAAAATGGAAAATCAGCCTTAAATCATGATGACCCTGGAAATAGGTTGGTCTGACACAAGGACCTCATCAGTTCCACATGATCTGATCAGTTTACTGTGGAAGAAACAGCCCTCTCCAGTCCCTGGGCACTTCCATGACAACTATGGCTTTCAGTGTGAGAGAAATTGCCAACTGGACTTTCCACTTTATACAAACATCTAGAAGTCTCACAGATCTTTAGCCAGAAACCCTGCTCTTTGCCACATGCACAAATATACTGAATATTTGTGAATATACCAGTATATACTGGAAAAAAGTCACAATACAGAAGAGAGGAGGCCATAGAATTGTACACTTGGTGTTGTAAGAGGGAAAGGCACTTTTCCTGATCAAAAGTGATTTATAGGTAAATTGATTACAGAAGGGAGAAAGGAAAGAAAGTTCCAGAGCACAATAACACTAAGAGGTCTCTGGATCAACTTTTCTGCTTTGTACCTGAAGGCAGGACAAGAAGCAATGGATGGAAACTAATCAAGAGAGAATCAACCTAGAACTAGGGAGAAACTTCCTGACAGTTAGAACAATTAATCAGTGGAACAACTTGCCTCCAAAAGTTGTGAATGCTCCAACACTGGAGGCTTTTAAAAAGAGATTGGACAATCATTTGTCTGAAATGGTATAGGTTTCATTTGTCACTTTTGTCATACCCACTCATTCAGAATTTCTGTGCAGGAAAAAATTAGCAGGCACAGATAAATGAATCTCCTCTTTCTCAAAAAGGTCTATCAATTCCATGGGAGATGGATAATGCTGACAGAAGAAGCAAGCAATAAATAATAGAAATTAAAACTGGAACCAAACGTCTCATTACTTCAGGAAAACATTGCTGCTGCTGGAGTTGGAGTGAAAAGGCTACTAGGGGATCCTTAAGTTGTCCCATGAAATGATCCTGTATTAGTTATCTGAGGAGAAGAAAAGTGGCCTGTGGAACACAACAGCTTAGATACAAACACTGAAGAGTTCTGCTGAAAATGATCAATACTTTTAAGAATGCCAATCATATCAGAAATGACAAATAAATCAATATTTTGATCTATGGCTTCCTTAATATTTAAAGATCTACATTTCAGGAGTGCTCTACCTGTTTGATTAGAAATGGTCCCTTCTGGGCAAGGGTCACATTGGTAGCAGCAAACCTTTTTGCCCTCTGGAACTTTTCTCCTCTCTCCTGCATGGCATCTTTTCATGCCACATCTGGCAAAGGGCACCTTCTTAAAGAGAAATGGCAAATGTTTGAGGTGAATTTAGCATTGAACATGTTCATTTATTCTTTTCCACATTCCTGTTTCCATCTTTAGAATGCCTTCAAAAGAAAGGCATGACCATGGTCTACCAGAAACCATGGAGGATTCAGGGGACGGTGGGACTCCTAAACCCACCAATAGATGGTAGAGATTGGAATTGTACCTTGGGGTGCAAAGGAAGGTTTGTGACATTGAGTAAGAGAATTTCCAAAATAAAGGATCATGTGGATCCAACTGAATGAGAATGGTCCATGGAAATAACATTTGCAAGTTTTAATTGTCTACTGTGTTTCAAGAAATTTTTCTCAATATTAATCTTTTGCGGACATGAAAAATTAGTTCTGAAATGATACACATGAAATCTGTTTACATGGGGGTGTCAGGTTCCGACTAGTGAAACACTTCAAAGAACTTCCAGGCATTGTTTTCCTAAAAAGTCTTTTATTTATGTTACAACATGTCGGCACACCGAAGGGATGCTAAGAACTAAATTCTCTTCCCCTGAGCAATTAATTTATCAGCATGTTCCCTCCCTAAATTTGCTGTCATATATCATGTTCTCCTATCAGGTGGAAGGGCAAAGGTTCTCTTCCGTTCTCTTCCCGTGCAGTCCTATCTTTCTCCTCCCCCCCACCATCATCTGAATTAACTCTAAAAATACCAGACAGTTCTGCATATTTTGTCAAAGCAAGAATATACAATATTAGCAGCGTTGACAGGGGCCTTATGGAAGCTGTTTCTTCCCCAAATTGCTGCACTATTTTCTGACCCTGGATGATCTATATCCCCACGAGAACATGAATCTTTTCCAGAAAATATTCCAGCTCACCTTTGTAGGCCACACAATTGCATCAGAATTAATGGTGAAATCCTGACCAGAAAGAGCCCCAGGATCTATTTGCCCAACTTTGACAGGGACAAAAGATTGATTGGGGAACCAAAACCAATTGAGAAGATCATAATGAGCAGAATCCAGTCCATTTTGTGAGAAAGTGACTTCATCTCCAGCATTGTTGTTGAATTGGACATTCTTCAAATAGTGAAGAAGCTGAAAGGAAACAAACCTTCAGAAATTGGAGTACTTGCTGAAAACCATCCATGGGACATCATGGCTTCTGTCATTCTGTGTTGGCCATAATCTTAGATTATGATCTCAGAGAACATTGAGGAGTTCCCTTGCTGGTGAGACGAGTAATCAGGAGTAATACCAAATACTTGTCTCCTTTCTTATTATTATCCAATATCCAGGCTTCTTCAATTCCAGGTTCATCATGATCATACATACATACAAATAGTTAAAGATACACTCCAAAATTTATTGTATGGTTTTGCTCCCATGATATTTGACTATATGTTTACTTTGATTCAAGGCCTTGTGAGGCCTTGTAGCAATAGCAATAGCACATAGAGTTATATACCACTTCAAAGTGCTTTACAGCCCTGTCTAAGTGGTTTACAGAGTCAGCATATTGACCCCAATAATCTCATTTTACTGACCTCCGAAGAATAGAAGGCTGAGCCAACCTTGAACTGGTGAGAATCGAACTGCTGGCAGTGGGCAGAGTTAGCCTGCAATACTGTATTCTAACCACTGTACCACCATGGCTCAGTAAGTTTCAAATCCATTTTAGGAATAACTAAATAATTTCTATCACAACAGTGTAATATTTTACTGACTTTTTCTAGCTGATAGTCAAAGTGAAAAAAATGTTGTATCCAAGTCTGACCAAATCGGGGCCTCATGTAAGCAAATACCTGCCCTGGTTTGTCACTTCAGTGTCCAGAGAGGTCCAACAAGTAGCCTTTAATATTGTTTCACAGCAGGAAACTATTAGGACAACTTTGAATGTTGAATGTTACTATGTGTGGTGATATTGACAAAGAAGTTGACTTAGACAATTGGATGGAGTAACATAGGATGCTAAGTCTTAAATGTGCTTTTTTCAAAAAGGCAACTGGACTTTGTTTTTTTTCCTTGAGGAATACATTTTGCTTCTCATTCAAGAAGCTTCATCAGTTTTAACCGGATAGTGGGGGGAATGGAAGGAATATTAGTTAGAACTGATGAAGCTGCAGTGTGCTGCAGCTGCTAAAAAAGCCAACACAGTGCTAGGCTGCATTAACAGAGGGATAGAATCAAAATCACGTGAAGTATTAATACCACTTTACAATGCCTTGGTAAGACCACACTTGGAATACTGCATCCAGTTTTGGTCACCACGATGTAAAAAAGATGTTGAGACTCTAGAAAGAGTACAGAGAAGAGCAACAAAGATGATTAGGGGACTGGAGGCTAAAACATATAAGGAACGGTTGCTGGAATTGGATATGTCTAGTTTAATGTCTAGGGCGGGATATAAATTAAATTAATAAATAAATAAATGAAGAGAAGGACGAGGGGGGACATGATAGCAGTATTCCAATATCTCAGGGGATGCCCCAAAGAAGAGGGGGTCAAGCTAATTTCCAAAGCACCTGAAGGCAGGACAAGAAGCAACAGATGGAAACTAACCAAAGAGAGAAGCAACCTAGAACTAAGGAGAAACTTCCTGACAGTTAGAACAATTAACCAGTGGAACAACCTGCCTCCAGAAGCGGTGAATGCTCCAACACTGGAAGTTTTTAAGAAGAGACTGGACAGCCATTTGTCCAAAATGGTATAGGGTTACCTGTGTGAGCAGGGGGTTGGACTTGATGATTTCAAGGTCCCTTCCAACTTTATTATTATTATTATTATTATTATTATTATTATTATTATTATTATTATTATTATTATTATTATTATTATTATTATTATTATACATATTTAATAAATACATATGGGAAGTTTCCATTAAAGGTTGTTTAATCTTTGATGTAGAAAAAAAGTCAGGTGGATTTTAGAGTACTCTAAGTCCTGTTGTATGTGCTCAAGTTGACAGTAGCTACTTTTATACAACAAGCAGTTCAGTGCAACAAATGGCAAACTAAATACATGGGGTGAGGTCACATAGCATGTTAAGCCAAAAACCAAGGTTAAACTGAATTGAGTTGAATGTCTTTTTTACAAGAAGGACTGTTGAAACACCCTGCTGAATTGTCATCTTGCTCTGGGATGACACCTCCGACTTGGAATGGCCTCTCCATGAAACTCAGACAACTTTTGAAGACCTTTGAAGAACTTTTCGGCAGGTCTTTCTTCCATGAACTTTATATACAAATGGTTTAGTTATTGCTCATTTCTCCCGTCTACTTATTTTTCAAAAAAACATTTTACTTAATTTGTATTATTTTTTTTAAGAAAAATAATTGCTGTTTTAATCTCTTTGAGTTGCAGAGATATGATGCCATACAGATATTCAATCAATAATTCAAGAGATAGGTGAGGGGAGCTTTTTCTCTAAGATTGTGTGGACTGCGTAAAAAGCCACAGAAATTACCTGCCATGACTGGACATTTGAGATCTTCTTTCCAAGCCTCATCATGGCTGGTCTAACTCCGGATCCATACATTGCATGTAATGCATGGGCCACAGCATAAATGGCATTGTAGATATTGTAACTTTCACCTGTCATGCTTCTTTCGAAAATTAAAGATGGTATATTCTGTAAATTCTCTTTTCCTGTACATTGAAGTTTCCCCTTTTGAGGGATCTGATCTGATCTTTGGATCTCGCAGTCAAACACTGATTCCCACCATAGTGGGAGAAAGAAGTCCCCTTGTGGATTCAAAGGGTCCAAAGACAGGAGGAATTGGCTGAATTCTGATAAATCACTGGTGTGGTCCCTAAAATGCAAAGCCCCATGGAACGGTTTCATTACTTTCAGTAGGCTTTGATATCCCTTCACATTAAGTTTCGAATGTGAAATTAAGATCCAAACATTCTGAGATGAAGTTATCCTCAATTGCTCATGAATAGACGCAGCCAACTGTACATATGTACTACTACTGGACTCTCCAAACAGAATAAGTACTTCAGCTTTAAACCAAGCATCGAAAGCAGAAGGTGATGCGAACGCTCTAGCAATCAAATCACGAAATTTAAAGATTTCCATGAAGGCCAGGCAGATCTCTTTCTCCTCGAGCATTGGAATCAGAAATGAGACCAAATGTTCTCCCCTGTCATCTTCAGAGGCCAAAAGCCCAACCCAGTTCCACTGGAAATGCAGGAGCAGCTGGACTAAACCCACAAGCTGAGACAATTCCTTGGGATTATTCTGGAAGAAGGAAGGATATAGTCTTCTGTCTCCCTGAGAGGATTCAAAGCCAACACCAAGCTGGAGAAAGTGACATTCTTCTTTCAAACACAAAGTAAAGTTTTATGATGACTTTAGAGGTCCCCATTGTGTAGTTGATTTCCCCACCACTCAGGTTGTCCAATTATGAGTAGTAAACATAAACCTCTCCCCTTCTTAGGAAGAACCCCCAGTTACAGAAGCCAAGGAATCAAACTATCAAACTGCATTGAAAAGGTGGCTACAATGTTTGAATATAAAGTTTAGAAGAAATTGAAGAAGCTTCTTGGATGAGAAATGTCTTTGGGTTAGGAAGAAATTATTCTTGGTTAAGTACAACATTCCAGAATTATCTGTCTTTTTATGGTTATACAAAAACGTATGTTGACACATAAAATATACAAATCAATTCAACTATATCATGGATTCTCTAAGTTGCCTACTATACTTCTGAAGATTCCCCTAAAACCCATTTGACTACGGTGTCTATTCTGTTGTTTTTGTACTCCATACTGTATCCATTGGAGCCCCCTTACCTGTGGTACTTTGAAGATGCTGAAGATGGAGGCCATCTGGATTGAGGATTTGGAATTGTGACCTCCAATGACAGACAGCAGAGTGTCCTGCCTGTCACATTTATAAGCTGGAACCATTCGGCCTCGTTTGGAGAGCAGGGAGAGGCTGATTAAGGAAATCTTCATCTCAATCTGGCAATTGTCATAGATGTGGAAGCCAAGGGTGATATTCGGGAGGAGATGCAAATCCTTGTTGATCTCTTGGACTGAAAACACCAAGGCTAGGAACTGCTGGTAATTCTTGGATTCAACTCTATAGTGAGAAAAACATTGCAGGATATTGCAGGACAGCTTGTGTGTGCTTGTGGGATTTTCCTTCTCTTTTGTGGTGTTCTTTAGAACAGGAAGCCCCAAGTTCCATTGGTTTGGGTTTTTTTTTAAAAAAGGACATTCCTTGATTAAAATTTGATGGCTTTTTAGAAAGGATAAAATCATGGACCATTTATCTCACTCTATTGCTCCTCCCTTCTTCATTTGGCTCCAGTGTGTATAATCTTTCCCAATTATGCCTCTACATCCTATTCAATTTTGGTTCTCTTGTGAGGAAGATAGAGGGATAGAATGATGATCACATGAAATGTTAATAGAAATTTATAATGGCTTGGTAAGACCACACTTTGAATATTGCATCCAGTTCTGATCACCATTATATAAGATGTTAAGACTATAGAAAGAGTGCAGAGAAGATTAGGGGATTGAAGGCTAGAACATATGAAGAATGGTTGCTGGAACTGGGTATGTTTAGTTTAATGAAGGACTAATACTGCTAAATGATAGCAGTGTTCCAATATCGGAGGGGCTGCCACAAAGAAGAGGGGGGGTCAACATATTGTCCAAAGCACCTAAAGGCAGGACAAGAAGCAATGGATGGAAACTAATCAAAGAGAGAAATTTCCTGACAGTTAGAACAATTAATCAGTGGTACAACCTGCCTCAAGAAGCTCTGAGTGCTCCAACGATGGAAGTTTTAAAGAAGAGACTGGACAACCATTTGTCTGAAATGGTATAGGGTTTCCTGCCTGAGCAGGGGTTGGACTAGATGACCTCCAAAGTCCCTTCCAACTTTGTTATTTTGTTATTGATGTTAAACGTCTTCAAATCTGGTATCCATTTCTGAGCAGAAGATTCCTTGGACTTCAGTAAGGCATTTGATAAAGTACATCACAACCTACTACTTGACAAGATAGAAAAATGTGGGGTAGACAGCATCACCACCAGATGGATCCGTAGCTGGCTGACCGGCCGTACTCAGCGAGTGGTCCTCAATGGAACCGCATCTACATGGAGGGAAGTGTGTAGTGGGGTGCCCCAAGGCTCTGTTCTGGGC